GCGTTTGTGTCAGATTACCGAGGATGGCGAAGTGCTCTCCGAAAGTGAATACCGTCTGACACAGGTCAAGCGTGAACAGAAGCACGCCCTGATTGACCTGTTTGCTCAGGCCGTCGTTGAAAAGGCCCTGGAGGTGGAACGGACGCGACAGTGTGCCCTGCGCCAGAGTTTAGAGGAGATTTGCAAGGCTCAGCGTGTCCGTAGGATAAGGGTGCGTTTTTCTAACTCGCATACAAACTTGCACCCTGTTTCTCCCCCGCCCCCTTCCTAGCGTGGAAGCGATCCCTGTTTAGACAAACGGATAACCAGAAGACCGAGTTATGACCACAGGAAGGGAACTGTACGACAGGTACTGGTGTCAGCATCATCATCATTTGGTGCCGAGTTAAAGTAGCATTTGTCGAACTGCTCCAATTGCGGATTTGCTTCGGGGCCCTAGTCTAGAGAGCTGTAGAAAATGTTCATGCTGCGAAAAGTGCTGTGGACGAATAAAAAATAAGCTGACGGTAATATTAGCGTATCATTTCTCCTTCTCTTCCCACATGGAAGCGGATCTGAAGAACGTAGCGGCAAGGGTCAACTATTAAACTGCCCAAAGTATTGCGGTCCTCTTTCTTGGGTGGCCTGATATATCCTTGCAATGTTGTCGCAGCAATCGTAGACTGTTTTATTTGAGACGAAGTCGGCGTACTTCACTCGAAACAGTAGTGTTCGAATACCACCAGTTTTCTTTCCTCTGTCACGCGCATAGCCCAGCATTCACAGCCGTAGGGGAGAACAGACCGAACAGATGCGCGGTAAACACGAACATTCTTGACAATAGACATATCGCCTCGGGTCCATAGATACTTTCTGAGGCTTGAGAAAAATCAACGAACTGTATCGTTTCGGGCTACAATATCACCCTCACTCTGTCCGTTCGGCAACAACCTCGCTCCGAGGCACTTGAAACTGCCTACTTTTCCAAGTTGACAGCAACTAATCTCGAGAGTTGCCTTCTCTTAGGCAGCGATGCCGCATGAAAATACCTTGGTCTTCCCAGCGTTTATAGAAAAACCGACCGATTTAGCAACCTCGTTCACCCGTGTCCCCATAGAGTGTAGATCGCCGAAGCTTGACGATAGTAAGGCGATATCATCGGCGTATTCAAGAACAGTCAACTGGTGTCCGGGTGCAAGTTCAATACCGTCAGTTTCTTGTAGGGCCTTCCCGAGAACCCAGTCAATGACGTAGTTAAAGAGGATAGGCGACAGAACACAGCCTTGCCGAACGCCTGACTGAATAGTGGACGGTTCTGAAAGGTTGTTATGGACAAGAACCCGCGAGGTGGTAGAGCGGTAATATGCTTTGGCTATGGCGATGGTTTCTGGTGGTACACCATCTAGTGCCATTATTCACCGGAGGGATGAACGATGGAGGGAATCGAGCGTAGCGGCAAAGTCAATAAAGCAGGCGGCCGTTGGTTGTTGGTAGCTATAGCGGAATTCAGGGATGCGTCCCAGTGCAAATGTCTGGATGGACGCTCACCGATTAATAACAGGACTCAGCCGTCCCATTCGGCCTTGGGGCTCACTCTCGGGCCTCGCTAGCAGCCGCACACAGCGGCTGATAGTCTAGGCAGATGATTATTGCCGACAAAGGCAAGAGAGATTAGCATGACCGTTTCCAGTTAATCAGCCGGCCATATCCAATCGTAGGTGATGAACCGCTCGAGGCTCGAACCTACGATCTGTTACTCAGAAGTTCAGGGCTTTAACCAC